ATCTGCCAAATCGGTTATCTCCACCATTGACTGACCCAAGTTTCTAGTGATGATGCCACGGACCGGGCGCAGATCGTTGCCCCCGAAGTATGTCACATCAGTAGAATTCATACATCTTAGGGAAGACCTCAGGCACCGTGACTTAAACAGCTTTGCCGGACTTTCCTTGGTAGTCGCATTTGTCGCGTTCCGGTATTGCAGTAGGAAGTTGTCCAGAAACGCCTCCAAGTCCGCAAGTGATTTCGGATTCGCGGATGCCAGTGCACTCTTGACTGTTTTCACAAGATTCTCAGCCTGACCATTCGAACAGGGATGTCTTGGGGCTGTACGTAAATGTTGACATTCAGTGCTATCGAGCCAAGCTTTCATCTCCGTGGCACTAAATTGAGATCCACTGTCTGTAACGAGCACTTGCGGTATACATTCCCCACCGAAGCACTTCGGAAAAGCCTGGATCACGAAGGATGTTGTTGGCATACTTGTCAGAAATATTTCCGGCCACTTTGAGTAGGAATCAATGAGAACCAAAGCATAGTATCTATTTAGAAATGGGCCGCAGAAGTCCGCATGTACCCGTTGCCATGGTGCATAACTTTCTGGCCATGGAGTCCAGTTTTTTGGTTTCGCCTTTACTTTGTGCAGACACGCCTCGCAATTCTTCGCAGTTTTGCAAATGTCTGCATCCAAATCAGGCAACCAACACATTTGTCGAGCCAGAGATTTCATCTTCTCCACTCCCAAATGGTCTTTGTGGAGGTCGTCTAAGACTGCTTTTCTTAGCGGCGGAGGTATGATCAGTCGATCACCGTGGCAGAGCACACTGTCTGGCTGTACAGCCAACTCCTCTCGATGGATGCAGAACTGAGGATGTCTCTTCTTTATATCAGGCAGCCATCCTTTCGATAGGGCCGAAATAATCACTGAGTAGTATTGTTTTGTATATCTTCTTAACGCTTTCCTGGAAACTTGTGATGGTTGGGCGATAAAATGACATTTCTCTGCGGCGCTAAGGCGCGAGTACCTTGATAGGAAGTCTGCTTGTGGAATCGTTTTGCCTGGTGGATGTGTATTATCATAATCGTACGCTCTCAGTGCAAACTCCATCGCTGAATCATGGCGGCTGTGGCTTTAGCGATAGACTTGTTGGGGTTGAATAAGAATTGTAGCGCCTGATGATCCGTCACAATGGTAAAGTGCAGTCCAAACAAATACTTGTGCAATCCTCGGACAGCCCAAAACACCGCCAGGGCTTCTTTCTGGGTCTGCGAGTACCCCTTCTCCGCATGAGCAATCGGGAAATACAAATAACAGGAAGTCCTTCTTGCTCCAACACGGCACCAATGCCCACCTCGGACGCATCTGTCACCAGTGTAATCGATTTTGATGGGGAAAATGATGCCAGGAGGGGACGTTCATTGGTGTTTCGTATCAATTCGTGAAGGGTTCTTTCGCAGTCTACGGTCCATTTACGGTCTGCTGCGGATTGCGCGACAAACAACGGTTGAGCCTTGGGGGCGAAATTAGGAATAAATCGTGAGTAATACTGATGGCATCCCATAATCGATCGTAGATGATTTTGATCTCTCAGGGATTCGATATTCAACAGAGGTTTGAATCGGTTTGGATCCAGTCGATATCCTTTGGAACAGACGGTGAATCCCAAGAACTCCAACTCCATCATTCCAAACATTCACTTAGATGGTTTGATGCGTACATTTTTCTCCATGAATCGTTCGAGAAAATTCTTCAAATTGTTGTCATGTGTTTCTTTCATTGTTCCAAACATAATCACATCGTCTTGATATGCCGTAACACCGCATAACCCAGACACAGCATTGTCTATTGTGGACTAAAAGATTCCGGATGATACATGCAAACCGAACGGGAGGAGATTGTACTGGAACAATCCCCACGGTGTACTGATCGTCGTAAATGCCCTCGAATCTGGATGTAATGAAATTTGAAGAAAGGCATCTGCCACATAGATTTCGGAGAAAAACTGAAAACCGTGTAGGGATTTCATGAAGTCCTCTGTCTCCATGGGCGTCGCTGCACATTTTTGCAATCGGGGATTGATTGTCAATCGGTAATCACCACATATCCTCGGAGTTGTGCCATCACTTTTCATCACGACAAAAATAGGAGTTTCCCATGTTGATGACGTCACTCGGGAAATAACACCAGTCTTCTCCATGCGGTCGATCGCATTTAGCACACCTTCGCGTTGTCCATATGGTAAGACACGCCTTTTTAGGAATACTGGTTCACCGTCGACCTCCAAAAATGCCCCAGGAACGCTCATTCCTCCCGCATTCTCAGTACATCGGATTATCAGCTTTCGAATTTCCTCAGTTGTATCGGATTTCAGTTCGTTGGCATGTAGGGATAAGGAATGTCATCGCCATCAATCCAAGAATAGACGGACTGTCTTGTGACACCAAGAATCGAATGGGCACACAACTGTTATCCTGGGAATGAATCGACAAAATTGTCTCACCCATTAGTGGAAGAAGGTGTTCAGGTACACCATGGATTCATGTTGTGGTCGGTTTTACGGTAGAATTTGGGCATACATGTTTGAGAGCTCCTCGTGAAATGACGGACTCACCACTGCCGCTCTCCACAATAAAACTGTGTCGATCGCCGGATTCGAAACAAATATCCTTGTAAATGAACTGCTTGTATTCGCTCATTGTTCGTAATGTATAAATTGGGTTGACTTCTTCTTGACAACACGGGGTACTCATCATATTGCATTTCCTTTGGCGGCATACCTTCTGAAAATGGCCAACATCACCACAGGAATGACACTTTACATCTCGAAATCGGCAGTTGGACAGCAAATGGAATTGATCGTACGACATACGCCGATTGATGTTCGTGGTTGAGGTCCTCTGGTGAGAGTAATTGGTCGTATGATTATGAGGAGATTTGGACTGCATCCCGGGTTTATTGCTTCGGGAGCTACTCTGGAATAACGTAGACGACTCACGGATTGTTGCTGCAGTGAGATCATCGTACTATTCACATATCCTCCGAGCATCGGAAAATGTCAGATCTTTCTTTTCCAGCAACTTTCTCTGGAGATTCATATTTTTAATGCCTGCAGTAAGGCGATCACACAATTGCTCCTCCAGTATGTCTCCATATTTACACTTGGAAGCCTGGTTGTTGAGCAAAAGGATGAAATCTCGACAGGGCATTGACTCGGCACGAACTAACGAATTGAATTTTACCCTCTCAGTAGCTTGGAAATCAACAGGAATCACGTGGGCAAGAAGCAATTGTTTCAGTATCGGGAATGGTAGCTTGGTCGGATTGTCGGGGAAAGCGAGATTCTTCAGCCAAAAATACATTTCTTTCCCACCCACCATGAGGAATATTATGGATTGATCCCGTTTTCCGTTATGCCGTAGGCTGCACCAGAGTTCAAAACGTTCGAACCATTCTTCAATCTCAGACGGGTGTGAATGTAGATTCAGGGATTCGATAGTGCGCAACTCCATGTCGCCACACCAATTTCAATATTCAGAATAGGATTCGAAATTGAATAGCACGAACTCGGTATCGGACTGAAAACCCACTGAATAGCGCAAAGTCAGGTAGAACCAAGACGAGCTGTAGATAAAGTTAATTCTATTAGGAAAATTATGGAAATATATATTGCAGGCAACAANCGTCTGGAAACTGACGTGACCCACTCACAGCCCATCTCACCCCAAGTTTTACCAATAAACGAGACAGTGGTCTGCCTCAAGCCAGTAGCACGCAGCTCGGCAAACATAAATCTTTGCTTTGCGCACTCAGAGATCAACCGCAGAGAAAAGGCCTCGGTGCTTACGGTCCCCAGGACCACAATGCAGATAAAGTAAACCCAGGCCAGAGCGATCAAGGCCACCCGGAGTAAAATAGGCATGATGGATGATCTCCTCGGCCTAGAAAGTAACAAATTTACAGGGGGAAATCGCCCCAGTTGCCTGTTAACACCGCACAGAAACTCAAGACTGTCCCTCCAACCCTCCAAGCCTACCAAGTTTTCTA